GGACACACTGGCTGCAACATTGTAACCGTTGTGAGGACAGCTGGCCCGGAGGTGTTTCATTCTGCCATGGCTGCTATGGGTTGGAACCGGCTAGACACCACCACGGGCTTTTCTGTTGGGCTAGGAGGCCTTACTGTGCGTCCCCCACATGTTTCCTTGCCTTATGCTGTGACACATTACACTGTCTTTCCTTACCTAACATTCATTCAAGGATGCTACTGTCTCTACAGATCTACCGATCATGGACTTCATGTAAAGGAAAACATACGGACACCTCCCCCCCCAAACAGACAGACAGACAGACAAAACCAGCAACAGTCACAAAACAAAGCAGAGGAAAGCCTCAATGAGAAAAGAAGGCATACGATCATAAAAGTGAGAATAAATGTAAACGGGTTCCAGAGGGAGGCCAATGATAAGGTGTTCAAGTGTTAACCAATGGCATCTGCATCTAGTCCACTTTCCAAATCACTCTGTCTGATAGCAAGGTCATTCCCATTCCTGTCAATTATCAGAGGGGATTCTCTGGAGGCTTACTCCACACGGGGACCATGCAAATGGATTTTGGGACCCCACTGTCATCTATAGTGTGGAATCCGGGTGCTCAGAATTTAAACTCTAATACCATTCCCTCTTCTGGTCTTGGCTGTTATTATTTACAATCCTTGGATCACATGGCTGGTGTGCTTATTCTGTTAGGTGGGTGATGTCTCATTCAGGTGGCTGCTTGTTTTAGGCAAGACTTGAAAACCCTGGGTGTTCACTCTGGCCCCCATATCTTAAGAGAATGAGCCCCGAGTGGGCACGTGGCCCTGTCCTTTGAGGAGAGAAGTGGTGACCAAGTGGGAACAAGGACGTTCCGATCACTCGCTTTGTGGTGCTCTTGCTCACGTGCACTAAACTCTTGCTCCTCTTAGAAGCCACCCAGGAGTTTCCTTCCCCAGCGGGAGGTAGCAGATTGAAGGTGGCCTTACAGAGATGAGATCCGCACTTCCATGGTGTCTTGTCTTCAAATCTTGCTCTGCTCACTGCTGTCCTCACAAGCACCGGGGGCAGGCTGCTCCGGGCACTCCCAGCACAGTGTCGCCAAGCTCACTGTACGACTGGCCTCCGTCGCCACGCCCCACAGTGGCAGCGAGACCAAAACAGCTCACCAAGAAAAGAGCACCAGCAAAGGTGGGGGGAGGGATTTGACCCCCACCAGGGATTTGTGTGTGTGTGTGTGTGTGTGTGTGTGTGAGATCCCCATTTGCTATTTTATTGTGGCTGATGATTTCATGAGAGGCCCTAGTGCAGTGGTTCTCAACCTTCCTAATGCCGCGACCCTTTCATACACTTTCCTCATGTGGTGGTGACCCCCCAA